CCTCTCTCTCTCTCTAGCTGTGTCTCTATGAATAAATAAATAAAATCTTCAAAAAAAAATAAATAAATAATAAAAATAAATAAATAAAAATTTAAATTTTATGTGTATTTTTCACAATAAAAAGTGCTAAAGAAAGGTTAAATGTTAATGTTTTGATCCAGCAATTTTGCTTATACTATATGGTACAGAAAGATTTCCACACGTGCATGGAGATCTATGTCAAATGACAGGAGTTTTGGAACCTTGCTCTAATGAAAAATGGGACATTAACAGAATAGCTATTGATAAAAGAATAGAATAATAAAATAGTATGTAGACACTAGAAAAAGGATGAACACACCACCTAATGCCAGTGAGGATGTGGAACAATAGAAATTCTCATTCATTGCTCTTGGGAGTGCAAAATGATACAGCCACTTTGGAGGAGAGTTTGGCAGCTTCTTAAGAAACTAAACATACTGTTATGGTCCAGCAATTGTACTCTTTGAGATTAACCCAAATGGGTGGAAAACTTATATGCACATCAATGCTTATAGTAGCTTTATTCATAATTGCCTAAATTTGAAAGCAACCAAGATGTCATTCAGTAGGTAAATGCATAAATAAGCTATGGTACATTCAGACAATGGACCACTTATATTCAGTGATTAAAAGAAATTTGGTATCAAGCCATGAAAAGACATGGAGGAGCCTAAATGCATACTACTAAATGAAAGAAGCCGGTCTAAAAAGATTACATAATGCGTGAATCTAACTATATGACATTCTGGAAAGACAAAACTATATAGACATTAACAGGATCTCTGGTTGCCAGAGGTTGACAGGAGGCAGGGATGAATAGGCAAAGCATAGAAAATGTTAAGGATGGTAAAAATACTCTGTATGATACCATAATGATGAATACATGTCATTATGCATTTGTCACAACCCATAGAATGTACAACACAAAGAGTGAACCTTAACGTAAACTATGGACTTTGGTGATAATGATGTGTCAGTGTAGGTTCAAGGGATCACTCCGAAGCAGGGGTTAAAAATGGAGGAGCTTTGTGTATGTGGGGGCAGGCGTTGTTTGTTCCTATGTCCCTCCCCCCGCCCGTGCATTCTCTCTGTCTCTTAAATAAATTTTAAAAATTTTTTAAAGATTTTATTTATACATTCATGAGAGACACGAGAGAGAGAGAGAGAGAGAGAGGCAGAGACACAGGCAGTGGGAGAAGCAGGCTCCACGCAGGGAGCGCGACGTGGGGCTTGATCCCAGGTCTCCAGGATCACACCACAGGCTGCAGGCAGCACTAAACCGCTGCACCACCAGGGCTGCCAGGAAAGGAATTTTTTAAATAACAGTGACATATGCTTATTATAGAGGAAATTTTAAATTATGTTCCATGATACAGAGATAACCATTTTTAAAATTTTGTGCATTTTTTTCTGTCATAAACTCAAATGTATTGACATTGTTTCCAGCTTTTTAAAGACTCTCTTCTGTATTTCAGTGTCATTAAAGATTCTTCCAAAATATTTCCTTTGGCTACGTAACTGTGACACACTCAGACTATGAAATACTGATTTAACATTTCTCTATTGTTAAGGCAATTACATGGCTCCCATCTTTATACATAAATGTCATTCTTTACACTGTTCATAGTTTCCTTATGACTGATGCCTAAACGAAATACCGCCTTAAAAAGTGAATTTTAAAGTTGTAGATACTCTAACAAGACTTCTTAAATGTATAAAATGTTAAATGATACTGCTCTTTTTTTAAGGAGAAACAAGAGACATAGAACCTATTTTTCCGTAACATACTGTCTGTGAATGTGATAAAGCAGTAGACTCCTCTTGATTTCTTTTGCTGTTACCTCTCTTCTGCATTCTCTGTTCCTTGACATTCTTTCCCACCTATGAAAACCTCTATGTTCCTTCCCCGATGCTTTGACATTTTTTTTTTATTTCTTAAGAGCAGCAAATCAGAATTCCAGTGCAGCCAGCTTGAATCAGTCTTTCTGTTCCTCTTATGAATAGGCAGTTCCTCCAGGCAGTGAATTAGCCCTTTAGAAAACATTGGCATTATGTTTCTCAATCCAGAGTGTCTGTATAGGTGGTCTGGAATGCATTAAAGAGAGGCATTGTGTCAGAACCTCAAATCTAAAGATGAAATCCTCTTCTTACTAATTATAGGTAGTTTTTACTGTTGTTGCTGTTGTTTTTTTTTTTTTTTTCAGAATCACTGGGTTTTAAAAGATTATTTAGTGAAAGTTGGAAATGGATTTGGTATAGTATATAGTTGGTTCTTGTTTTATTTATGGAAATGTATATAGAGTGTTCTTCAAAGGAATTTTATGGTGAATATAGAGTATCACTCATTTTTCTAGTTTTGTAAATGCGAATTTCATATTTCTTTTAGTGACAGAATTAATTTATTTTGTTTCCAGTTCAGGCTACAATATTTAGCAGTAATTTTTTGCTGATGAACTAGATAATATTCTCCCATATATTATTATCTTGTGTGTTTTAGTTGAATTTGTTACTGTAACAAAAGAGGTTTTTAAGATCAGTAGTTCTCAAAAGTGTGGTGTCCCCAAACCAGAAGCGTTAGCATTACCCATCAGCTGGGAACATGTTAAAAATGCATATTATTAGGTTCTACTCCAAACCTACTATTCAGAAGTTATGAGGTGTAGCCAGCTACCTGTGTTATAACAAGCCCTTTAGATGATTCTCATCTATGCTAAAGTTTGAGAACTGGTTTAGATAATATCTATCCAGTGGCTAAAAATCTCAGCTCTTTATCAGTTGAAAGCCCAGGTTTGATTTAATTCCAGGGTAGGTGTTAAGAACTATAGCAATATTGCTTCTAAGAGATGTGTAGATGAAAAGCTGTTGGCAAGAGCTGCCTTACAAGAGTTGGTTTCATTGTTTCTGATAGTTGAAATTTTAAGAACAGATCACCAAGAATCCTTCACTCTGGAGCTGAACCAAGTTGCTTCAGTACTTAGGATAGTTAGCAGAAGCTTCTTATTTGATCACATCATTTAAGTTGTGCCTTCCTCCATTACCAGCATACTTAAAATGACAAATCATGAAATCACATCTAAAGCAGATACCGTTTTCAGAGTAAAGGAATTCCTGAATTAGCTCTCTTTCAAATGCTTTTAAGTTATAAATAATTATAAGCAGACATACAGTACCTGGTGGATACTTCATTAATATAGTTGAGCTATATATCCATTAATTATTGGCTTCTTTTTGTATAATTACTAACTGTTTGGATAACATCTACCTATCTGGTTATTTTTAATGGAAATTTTTTATGGTAATAGGTATATGTATTTTTTTAACCGGAAGATTCTCTATTCCTGAGTTTAAATGTCACATCCATTTATTAATTATTTCAGTTGAGTCCTACAGAGTGGAATATTAATTTTTTAAACATGGTATTATTTTATAAATGGGAACCCTTGTTTTAAAGAACCAGATTTCCTTGTTAAATTTAGGACTTTAAAGTTTATTTTGGCTCCTAAATGTATAGCAGGTTTTTGTTGTTGTTGTTGTTGTTGTTTTAACTTAGGAAGATAATTACTCTCAGAAGAGTTATAACTGGTTTGGTGGTGGTGTCTTCTTTGCACCACAGATGGATCTTGTTCATGCTATGGCTTAAAATCAATGACTAGAGAATCATTACAGGAAAGCTGAAAACATTTCCTTTATGCATATTGAGAAATGGAACCTTCCATAAAGCCAGGATAAAGCTACTAACTTTTTGAAGATAACCGTTTCTGATTTTTAATCTATGACACATAACAAGTATTATTTACCTTCTACATATAACTAGGTCATATTGTAAAAGGTCAGCTTCTTATAATCAGCTTAAAGAAATCATTATTTTCTACAGTAAGGGAGGAGTAAAATACATTTTAAGAATACTCTTAATCTTATGAGTCTGAATTTTTTTTTAAGATTTTACTTATTTATTTGAGGGGGGTGGGAACATGAGTAAGGAGAGGGGCAAAGGGAGAGGGAGAAGCAGACTCCACAACTCAGGGCTTGATCCCAGGACCCCAGGATCATGACCTGAGCCAAAGGCAGATGCTTAACCAACTGAGCCATCCAGGTGCCCCACGAGTCTGAAATTTCTAACTAGCAAAAGATGTGATGGAGAATTTAATATTGAATGTCCTGTGATTATTTATTTAGTCATGGGCCCAGGTGAGATTAATAAAATTGAAAAGAGGAAGCAGTGTTTTAACATTAACCAGTTTTGTTTTTGTTTTTGCGTGGGCTCAGTCACATGGTAGTGGATATATTTATGGTCTCTTCATGCTGGTATTATTTGATCCATTTCCACATACAACTTATTGCTTTCTAAGCTTAGTATAATACTTGACCTGATCACTTTCAAGGTATGTAAAACATGCATAAAATCAGCGAGAGGCTAATAGATTTTTTGTTCTTGAAGAAATTAATATACCAAATACATAATTCCTCCTAACGTACCTGATTTGAGAATAATAAGTGATTCATTCATTTTTGATTCTGTGTTAGTGAAATAGGCCATAATACTACAAGTCCGTAAGAAACAGTCTAGTCTCTTTTCAAAAGACTTTAGGCAGAAGTGAAATAAAATTTGAAGAAAGAATTTATATAAAACATTTTTTGAATTTTCAAATTTAATTTTCAACTAAATAATATACCTCAAGTTACTTGTCATGGAATTGGGGGACCTGATAATTAAAGACTGCAGAAAAAAGTGAAAGCATATTATTTACTTTTCTGATTGGATGAGAGGAAATATTTCTGAACTTTTTTTTAATTCTGCCCTAGTGATTCATAGTACTTGGTTTTCTTCAAATTAGAAAAGTTAGTTCCCATTGTAGTCTTTGACATGTTTGTTACACTGACTTGTGCTAAAAACAAATCTCATATTGATGTCTTAGCTCATAAACTTCATGTTAAGCAAGTTATCTTAGGAAGCCATTTTATTTGTCTTAATTTTTCAGTTATCTGAGGGAAATCAAAAGCACACAAATCTACAGAAAAGCATTGAGAAAGCTAAAATTGGCCGACATGAAACGGTAAGTTTGTCTGTAGATTCTTTAATAATGTCAATTCTAAATAGAAGAGTAAGAACTTTGAGCTTCCTGTGAGGAGCATACCATTTCTACCAGAAGAGAAGTGAATACAGCAAAGGACATGAACATTGGACATGGTAGGATTCACTAATTGTAAACTGAGGTTTATGTTTTATTCTTGTATTATATTGTACATGGCAGCATAGCATAGAAGGATAAACCATGGAGCCAGACAGCGTGGGTTTGAAAGTGTCCTAAATTTTCGGTTCTCAGTTTCCTGGCTGTAAAATAGGGGATAAAATCTACCTCATTAGGTTATTGTGTGGATTAAAGTAGCTAATATTTGCAAAGCACTCAAAAGAGGACATGCCACAAGTAAGCCCCTTATAAATGTTTATGTAAAATTTTAAGAGTCATGTTTTTTAAGTTTTGGCACAGAACAAATTGAAAACTATCATGTTATCCTTGGGGCTTTGTAATATTTCTAAATTATTTAAATGAATATTGACATTATTTTATTTTAGAAAGTATAATGTTCTCTGAAGTATTATGTTAGGGGTTTTTAAAAATCCCTTTACTTTCTAGTTTCATCATCTCAAGTATTGATTTATAACTTTAAAAAATATTGAAGATCAACGTGCGCCACTAAGCTTTCCATCTAGGCCTCTATTTGTACTACTTGATTGTGAAAGAGACCCAAAAACAGTCACATTGTAGAAAAGAAAATACCATAGTCTTACTATGGCTTTTCAAAATTATTTCACATACTTTCGTTTATGTGAATAGTCAGCAGTCACAGATAGGAATTGGAGAATGATAGTTTATGAAGAATATTTAAGGGAAGGTAAGTTCTGGGAATAACCTGAAGCTGTTGTATTTCTTTAATTGACAGTAGCAATTACCATTTCTTTATTTGATCCTTTTTTTTTTTCCCTTTAAACATTGGCAATAAATTGTAGATCCATCTTCAACTAATGGTGACATATCCATGCCCAAAACTTGTCTGCTGAGTGTTAGCCAGTCCACTTGGATTTATTGCACCTGGGAAAAATCCTAGTGGATGCTCTTAGGAGCATCTCCTAGGATGCTCCTCTGAGATCTTTAAAAATAAATAAATAAATAAATAAATAAATAAATAAATAAATAAATAAATAAAATAAATAAATAAATAAATGAATGAATGAATGAATAAATAAATAAATAAATAAATGTATGTGATAGGAGGCCATAAGCAGTAATTTGTTATTTCTGATATCTTCAAATATTTTTTAAAAGATTTTATTTATGGGATCCCTGGATGGCTCAGCGGTTTAGTACCTGCCTTCGGCCCAGTGCATGGTCCTAGAGTCCCAGGATTGAGTCCCACGTCAGGCTCCCTGCATGGAGCCTGCTTCTCCCTCTGCCTATTTCTCTGCCTCTCTCTGTCACTCATGAATAAATAAATATAAAATCTTTTTTAAAAATTAAAAAATAAAGATTTTATTTATTCATGAGAGACACAGAGAGAAAGAGGCAGAGATACAGGCACAGGGAGAAGTAGGCTCCATGCAGGGAGCCCGATGCAGAACTCAATCCTGGGACTCCAGGATCACGCTTGAGCCAAAGGCAGACGCTCAACTGCTGAGCCACCCAGGCATCCCTGATATCTTCAAATATTTTTAAAGCTTAATCATTCTTAAAGGTTGAAAAATTGTCTTAAACTTTTAAGGAAAATTGTGTAATGATGATATTGCCATAAAATATTGCTTATATATAGACACTGTCTTATGAAACTACCCAAGAGGCAGTATCTTTTCCTAACATATGATGACATAGTCATCTTTAAGTTCATACATAATCAGTGACCTTTCATCTATTTATGAGAGGTCCATTCTCATATTAATTCCCATTCAGCTAGCCACAATATATGAAAGATGCTTACAGTTTCAGAGAAAAATGAGAATTGAGTTTGTTCTTACACTGTGAATATAGGTATGGGGTATATGTAATATTGTCCAAAGTCTAGTGCACATTAGTTTTGAGAAATAAGAAAATGTTTATAAAATGTATAACCTTACAACATACGGTATTTTGCTTGTCTTAATTATATACATAAAACTATTTTGAATGCAGGAAGAGCGAACCATGCTAGCAAAAGAGCTGTCTTCACTTCGAGACCAAAGGGAACAGCTAAAGGCAGAAGTAGAAAAATATAAAGAATGTGACCCACAAGTTGTGGAAGAAATACGTAAGTTTCTATAACACCTTGAAGATTTTTAAATTTTTTAACTTCAGAGAGAGAGAGACAGAGAGAAATGAGAGGAGCTGAGAGAGAGAGAATCTCAAGTAGGCTCCATTCCTAGCTCAGAGCCTGATTCAAGGCTTGATCTCACAACCCTGAGATCATGGCCTGAGCCCAAACCAAGAGCCGGATGCCCAAATGACTGAGCGACTCAGGTGTGTCTTCCCACCCTGTTTAAAAAATTTTGTTTAAAAAAAAATTTTTTTTTTAAAGAAAGCGAGAGGAGGAGCAAAGAGAATCTCAAGCAGGCTCACACTTTGAAATTATAACTATTTTAAGAGGAAGGAAAGTAGACAAGAAGATAAAGATATATAATATTAGCTTAGGAAACTGAGAAGTCAGAGAAGAAGTTAACTTGCCCCCAAGTACATTACTCAAGAACAAAATCCACTATTGTCTTCTAGGAAAGATAATATCAAAAAAGCTTTTATTTCACCCCATTAAAATGTTACATATTTTGTGGGGCACCTGCATGGCTTAGTTAAGGTCTGCCTTCGGCTCAAGTCATGATCTCAGGATCTTTGGGATCAAGCCCTGCGTTGGGCTCCCCACTCAGCAGGGATTCTGCTTCTCCCTCTCCCTCTGTCCCCTCCTCCACTTGTGTACTCTCTCTCTCAAATAGTCTTTTAAAACATTTTTTTTAGGGACGCTTGGGTGGCTCAGAGGTTGCCTTTGGCTCAGAGTGTGATCCCGGAGTTCTGGGATTGAGTCCTACATCGGGCTCCCTGAAAGGAGCCTACTTCTCCCTCTGCCTTCTCTTTCTATCTCTCATGAATAAATAAATAAAATCTTTAAAAATTCTTTTTAATTAAAAAAATTTCTATTTTTATAAAATACATTAAAGCTAGAAATTACAACACATTTAATAGATAGCAGTTATGTGGGGAAAATCCCATTATTCCATAAATATATATGTATATATATATATATATTTTTTTTAAGATTTTATTTATTTATTCATGAGAGAGAGAGAGGCAGAGACATAGACAGAAGGAGAAGCAGGCTCCATGCAGGGAGCCCGATGTGGGACTTGATCCTGGGTCTCCAGAATCATGCCCTGAGCCGAAGGCAAACGCGCAACAGCTGAGCCACCCAGGCATTGCCATAAATATATATTTTATTTATTTATTTGTTTGTTTTTTAAAATATTTTATTTACTTATTCATGAGAGACACACACAGAGAGAGAGAGAGAGAGGGAGAGAGAGGCAGAGATACAGGCAAAGGGAGAAGCAAGGAGCCCAGCGTGGGACCCGATCCCAGGACCCTGGGGTCACGCCCTGGGCCGAAGGCAGGCACCAAACTGCTGAGCCACCCAGGGATCTCCCCCATAAGTATATTTTAGATATGAAGGTAGGATAGTAGGATATTTTTTTTTTGTGGAAAGCTATCAAACTATAATCAAAAGAAAAAAATCTTTTTAGACAGCTCTAGTTCATACCTTTATAGAGAAATGTCCAATTCCTCTGCTTTAAAAATTCAGAACAGCTAACAAAATTTTATTCAAATGTGGTATTTCCACTTCCAGGCAAGTAGTGACAGACTGGATTTATCCTCCCATCTGAAAAACAACACAGATAAAATATATGAAATAGGTTTTAAGGTACATATCAGACAATAAACAACAATGATTCTTAGAGAAAGGAAACAGATAAAGTAAGTCCCAAAATTGTGTCAGCTTATTTTATTGAGTTCCCAGGCTGTGGCACAATGAAGGAGTACCTAGGCAGAGCCCCTACAGACGAAACTGAGAATCAGGGGACCAAGGTGGCTAGAGTTCACAGGACCTTATACTAGAGAGGAGAAATTACACAGAGAACCCTAGGTATCTATAGAGGGCTCCCCTCAAGTATTTGGTGAATGCATGTGAAGTAATTACCCAAAGCTGGGGAAAGAATGATTTCAGCAAATTAGAAGGAACAATACCTGGCATTCACACAGGACCAAGAATAATGCCTATTCTCACCAGGCAGATTGGAAAAATTTATAATTCACAAAGCATTAGTTAGAGCACTCAAGAACATTTTGCCTCAGTAGCAAGTACTAATTAGCCCTAGACTGAGCTTTGTTCTCCCCTTCTAAAAAACCATAACAGCAAATCTTGAAAACATCAAACTATTGTAACTTAAATGCATCCCAGAAAAAAAGCTAAAGAGTATTTATAGGAATACAAATATACCTAGCACCCAACAAAATAAAATTCATAGTGTCTAGCACATAGTGAAAGATTACCAGACATGTAAAGAAGTAGGAAAATATCCTTAATGAAAAGAAAAATCATTCAATCAACACTGACATAGAACTAACACAGATAGTAGAATTGGAAGATTATGACCTTAAAAGCTATTATACATATATCGTATAGGGGTAACTTGGTGGCTCAGTCAGTGGGGCATCCAACTCTTAGGCTCAGGTCATGATTTCATGGGTAGTGAGACGGAGCCCTGAATCTAGGCTCTATGCTTAGTGGGGAGTCTGGGGATTCTCTCCCTCTGCTCCTTACTCCTCTTACTCCACTTGTGCGTGCATGTGCATGCATGTGTGCTCTCTCTCTCTCTCTCTCTTTAAAATATATGAATAAATTTTTAAAAGATGTATGTGTTTAAAAGTTAAGTAGAAACATGAAAGATGTAAAAAAGGTTCGTGTCAAACTTGGAGTTGAACACTACAATGTCTGAAATGAAAAATACATTGGATTGGATTAATAGATTAAACTTTGCAGGAGAAAGGATTAGTGTATTTGAAGACATAGCAGTAGAAACGATCCAAAATGAAACTAGAAAGGAAAAAGAAAAATTTTTTAATGAAAATAGCATCCATGATATGCAGGACAAATTCAAGTGACCTAATATATGTGTAATTAAAGTCCCAAAATGAGGGACTGTTGAGTGGAGTGGAGGGTTTGTGTGTGTGTGTGTGTGTGTGTGTGTGTGTGTGTGTGTTGTACACGCCTGTGTGTGCACGTGTGTCTGGGCCTGAAAAATATCTGAAGAAATAAATTCAGAAGAAGTAAAGGCTGCTTTTTTTTTTCAAATTTGATGTAAGCTATAAACCCACAGATTCATCAAATTGAAATAGCAAATGGCATTGATCTCCTTATTACTAAATCTAGATAATTTTTTTAATATTTTAACCTCTGTCCCCCCAAATAGGATTATTTCCCTTCCCAAAAAAGATGATTGTTTTTAAAACGTGCTTTTTGATAATGAGGGTTTCATAGGAGTTTGGCTATCATGTTAGTGCAGAACATATTATACTGGATTAAAGGATTATGAGTTTCACAAGTTGATTTTAATAAGATTTGGTTCTTAATAGTGTGATTATAGCACACATGTTACAACGATCAGGCTAATCTCTAAGTCTGTCGTGGTTTATTTTGAAACAGTTTTTCTGCTGATAATAGCTGTAACTTTTATGTTCATGTTAGATATGGCTGTGTATAATCTTTTACTTATTTTTTTTTTAAGATTTTGTTTATTTATTCATGAGAGACACAGAGAGATAGAGAGAGGCAGAGACACAGGCAAAGGGAGAAGCAGGTTCCATGCAGGGAGCCCGATGCAAGACTCGATCCCGGGTCTCCAGGATCACACCTTGAGCTGAAGGCAACCCTAAACTGCTGAGCCACCCAGGCTGCCCTCTTTTACTTATTTCTTAATAATTCTTGGAAGAAATATATTTCATCATGCTAGTTGAATTATTGATACCTGCATTCAATAAGTATTAGCAAGATTGGTTTTAAATATCTTAGAAGAAGTAGAAACAGTAATGTATAAAAAATGAAATGTAATTCTAATTTAATTTAATTTAATTTAAATAAATAAATAAATAAATAAATAAATAAATAGATTTAATTCTACTCTGACCTTTAAGTGAGAACAGATAAAACAAGTTGTAGTAAAAATTGAATTCCTACAAAAATGTTTAAAGAAATTTTCTTAGAAATGCCAGGATGACAGTGAAAATGATGGAATTAGGACCTCTGAAAAGTTATTGTTCCATGAAAGCTGGCAGAAATTGTCACAACTTTTTCAGAACCCTAGAAACTAACCAATGATTTGCCTATTCAAGAAAAATGGCTGACTCTTAGCAAGAATAATAAGCTTGCTTATTATTGTGATGTTTTAACTTGTCCTATTCTCATCCCCTACTCTCTAGCTCCGCAGTAACCTTGAAAAATAACAGCCCTGAATTCCTGATATCAGAAGGAGTAAAATGGAGCTGAAGCTCTTTAAGACCCTCTTTTCACCCTAGTTGTTACTATTTGACATCTTTAGTGGTTTTCTGAATAGGAAATATTGTCTTATTTGATCTGGCTTGTGGTATGCTCATTTGTCTAAAAACAATTACAGGCAAGAGTTTTAACTTCACAGCTTTTTTAGGTGATGAATAACAGGTGAGCCTAATCAAAGAGCTTTAAAAGGAGAGGCTGAAAGAGATGTTCTTAGGTGTCTTGGAAAGCAGCATGGTTTTGGAAATCTAGAAAGCCATATGCTTGCACAGAAGGGCTGTGCACCTTCTCAGGAAAATCTTGGGAAGTTCCTAGTCTCTCACCTCTAGCAGACCTTGGCACTCTGCATGCAGGAAGTGAAGGCCACGGCAGAGTAGTAAATTGCCTAGTTGAAACCTGCCGCAACACACTCAGAGAGCCTCTCAGCAAAGACTTGGAGTTTTAGTCCAGGTGTTTCAGGAAATCTCTGTTCAATTATTAGCTGCCTGGCAAGTGAACTAGAGACTTCAGTGGCCACACAGGACAGAGTACAGACTTTATAGAATTAATTCAGAGAAATCACTAAACAAACAATAACAACAAGTACCAAAAATAACAACCTTGGGAATGGGGAAGTATCTGATTCCCAGAGTTGCCACATTATATTATTTAAAATGTCCAACTTCCAACAAAAAAATTGGGAGACGTACAAAGAAAGTATAGTTCATGTACAGTGCATGATGGTGGACTTGCTAGACACACAGACTTTCAGCTCTTTAAATATGTTAAAAGAGCTAAAGAAAAACATGTCTAAAGAAAAGGCTGAGAGTGAAATCTCACCAAGTAGAGAATATCAGCAAAGATACAGAAATTTTTTTTTTTAAAGATACAGAAATTATTAAAAAGGAACGAAATGAAATGCTGGAGTTGAAAACCATAATAATTGAAATGAAAATTCAATTAGGAGATTATTAATCATGAGATTATTAATCCTAAAATTCAATTAGGAGATTATTAATCAGGAGATTAATAGCTGATTTCAGCAAAAAAAGAAAGAATTAGTAACTTGGAGATAGTTCAATTGAGATAATTCAATCTGTGGAACAAAAAGAAAAAAAAAAATGAAGAAATACCAGTGGAGTTTCAAGAGACCTGTGACACATCATCAAGAATGCCAACATATACATATAGGAAGTCCCAGAAGGAGAGGGGAGAGAATGGGGCTGAAAGAATATTCCAAAAAATAAGAGCTGAAACCTCAAATTTGATGAAAAGCAATCTATACATCAAAAAACTTAAGCTCCAATTTAGGATGCCCTGAAAAAGATCCACATATAGATTTATCATAATCAACTTGTCAAAAAAAAAAAAGAATATTGAAAGCAACAAGAAGGAGGTTACTCATCACATACAAGGACTCTTCAATCACATTAATAACTTGTTTCTTATTAGAAGCCATAGAGACCAAAGGCATTGGGGTGACATGTTCAAAATGAATATGGGCAGTAACTGTCTACTAAGAATTCTATATCCAGAAATATTTTCCTTAAAAATGAAGGACAGAGTAAACAACAACTGAAAGAGTTTGTCACTAGCAGACCTGCCCTCCCCCCCCCAAAAAAAAATATATATATGGAAGTCTTTCTCACTGAAATAAAAGGATGCTAGATAGTAACAGGAAATAAAGCACACTGGGATGCCTGGGTGGCTCAGTGGTTGAGTGTCTGCTTTCCGCTCAGGACGTGATCCTGGGGTTCTGGGATCATGTCCCACATCGGGCTCCTTGCATGGAGCCTGCTTCTCCCTCTGCCTATGTCTCTTCCTCTCTCTGTCTTTCTTGTGAATAAATAAATAATTTTTTAAAAAAGAAATAAAGCACACTGATAAAGGTTACTTCATAGGTAAATATAAAAGACAGTGTATATGTATTTTTGTTTGTATCTCCTGATGGTCTCCTATTTGCTTTAAAATACAGCTGCATAAAGCAGTAATGATAAGCTATTTTGTTGGGCACACAATATGTAAAATGTAATTTGTGACAATGACAGCATGATTGCTCATTAGACAAAAAATATTTGACAAAATCCAGCACCCTTTCAAACACTCAACCAAGAATAGAAGTGAATTTCCTCAGTTCAATAAAAGGGCATCTACAATAAATCTATAACTGACATCACATTGAATGGTGAAATGTTATATGCTTTCCCCAAGGATGACCTCTTTCATCAGTTCTATTCAGCATTGTACTAGAAGTTCAAGCTAGGGCAATTGGGCAAAAAAGAGAAATAAAAGGCATCCATGTTTAATAATAAGTGAGGTCAGCACATTGTAGTATACAAAAATCACATGCACCTTACATACTAACACTGAACAATCTGAAAATGAAACTTAAAGAAATTCATTTACAAATGAATACTTAGGAATAAAATTAGTCAAGAAAGTGCTATACTTGTACTGAAAACTACAAAACATTGAAACTAATGACTTGTACAAAGACATTCTGTGTTTATAGAAAGACTTAAACGTTAAGACAGAAATGCTCCTCAAATTGATTTACAGATTCAGTATAAAACCTGTCAAAATTCTAAACACTTTTTGGTAGAAATTGGTAAATTGATCCTAAAATTCATATGCAAATGCAAGGGACCCAGAATAGCCAAAAGAATCTTGAAAGAGGGGGGTGCCTTGGTGATACAGTCAGTTAAGTGACCAACTCTTGGTATCAGCTCAGGTTGTGATCTTAGGGTCATGGGCTCGAGCCCACATTGGGCTCTGTCCTCTCAGTCAGCTCCAAGTCTGCTTAAGGTTCCCTCTACATCTCCTTCTGCCCCTCCCCCACCACATGTGGCATGTGCCCTCTCGCTCTCTCACTCTTTCAAATAAATCTTCTTTAAAAAAATCTTGAAAAAGTAACAGCAAAGTTGGAAGACTCAAATTTCCCAATTTCAAAAATTCCTAAAAAGCTGCAATAATCAAGACAGTGTGGGGGCTAGCCTAAGAATAGACCTGCAGGGGCATCTGGCTGGCTCAGTCAGAAGAGCATGTGACTCATGATCTCGGGGTTGTGAGTTCAAGCCATATGTTGGATGTAGAGATTACTTAAAATAACAAAAACAAAAAAGAATAGACATGCAGGTTAATGGAATAGAATTGAGAGTCCAGAAGGAAACCCAATTGATTTTCAACATGGGTGCCAAGACCATTCAATTAGGAAAGGATTGTGTTTTCAGCTAATGGTGCTGGGCATAACTGGTTATCCACGTGCAAATGAATCATCCTGGACTCCCATCTCAGACCATATACAAAAACTAACTCAAACAGATCGAAAACCTAAATGTAAGAAAGTATGAAACCAGTGTCTATCTCTGTATCCCTGGGTTAGGCAGCAGTTCCTTACGTAGAACACCAAAAGCTCAAACAACCAAAGAAAACAGATCAATTTGACTTTGTCAAAATTAACAACTTTTGTGTATCAAGGCACCTTACTAAGAAAGTGAGAAGAAAATCCAGAGTAGGAGAAAATATTTGCAAATCCTATATATATCTTGACAAATGTCCAACATCCAAAATGTATATATTTTTAAAAATTACAACTGAACAATTTTTAACCCAATTTAAACATGGGCAAAGTGTTAATTTTTCCAAGGAAAATACACAAATGGTCAAGAAGCATAGGAGAAGATGCTCAACATCATTAGTCATTAAAGAAATGCAAGTCAAAGCCAAAATGAGATACTATTTAAACAGGGCATAGGATGGTTATAATAAAAAGAATGGAAAATAATTTTTGGTGACGATGTGGAGAAATTGGAATTGGAACTCTTAGTTTGCTGGTGGTACTGTTAAAATGATATAACCACTTTGTAAGACAATTTATCTGTTCCCCAAAATGCTATATGTAGAGTTATCATTTGAGCTCCTAGATGTATATCCAAGAGAATTGAAAACATGTTCACCAAAAATTATTCATATTAGCAATAAACAACCCAAATGTCCATTAACTAATGAATGACTAAACAAAATGTGGATATTATTTGACAATAAAAGGGAATTAAGTATTGATACATGCAACAACATGGATGAGCCTTGAAAACATGATGCTAAGTGGAAGAAGCTAGACACATTGTGTATTGTTGCAATTTTTTTTTAAGATTTTATTTATTCATGAGAGAGACCAAGAGAGAGAGGCAGAGACACAGGCAGAGTGAGAAGCAGGCTCCATGCAGGGAACTCCATGTGGGACTCAATCCTAGGACTCCAAGATTATGCCCTGGGCCGAAGGCAGGACCTCAACTACTGAGCCACCTGGGCGTCCCATATCATTGCATTTAAACGAAACATCCAGAATAGGGAAATTCATTGAGATGGGAAGTAGATTAGTGGTCTCCAGGGGCTGAGGGGAAAGAGAATGTGGAGTGACTGCTCATGGGTATGGGATTTTCTTTTGGGTGATGAAAATGTCCTCTAATTAGGTAGTGGTGATGGTTTTCCAATCCTGTTCTAAAACCTACTGAATTCTGCACTTTAATATCATGAATTCTGTAGTATATAAATTATCTTTCAATAAATAAATGATATCATAATAAATATTTATGCTCAGTTGATCATGGCACTGTTTTGTGTGTGTAGTTTAAGTTGACAGACACATATATTTAATAGCAAGATATATAAATTTTTTAAGGTCAGGTTTATTGTAATCTAATATATGTACTCTGAAATTCTTATTAAATTATTTTATACTCGATGTAAATTATTTGAATAACACATCTCACTTATGTTATTGTCTTTAAAGGAACCTTATGTATTATGCTGAGTGAAATAAGTCAATCAGAGAAGGACAAACATTATATGGTCTCATTCATTTGGAGGAATATAAAAATTAATGAAAGAGAACAAAGCGAAAGGAGTGAAAATATCAGTGAGGGTGACAAAACCTGAGAGACACCTAACTCTGGGAAATAAGCAAGGAGCAGTGGAAAGGGAGGTGGGAGGGGTGTTGGGGTGACTGGGTGATGGGCACTGAGGGGGGCACTTGGCGGATGAGCACTGGGTATTATGCTATATGTTGACAAATTGAACTCCAATAAAAAATTAAAATTAAATTAAAAAATAAATAAAGGAACCTTATGTTATCTTTAAAGGAACCTAATAATGGACATTTAAGAGAAGGAAATGGTTTACATTGACTATTCATGATTAATATAATAGAAACTAAAATTTCTTTGGGGAGTTGAGCAGGTTTGTGGGATGCAACATGTCACTATTTGAGCTTTTTACATAGATCTTTATTTTTCTAACCTTTGGTTCATGTAAAAAAATGAAGCTATAAATAGAGGAAGATGATTATTTATATATGTATATATACTTTTTTTCAGGTCAAGCAAATAAAGTGGCCAAAGAAGCTGCAAACAGATGGACTGGTATGCATTACAATGGTACTGATAAGCTATAGTTAAGCTTTTTCTACACTATGATACGAGATGCAGAAGCTGTTATGCCTAGTTTTGTTCAAGAAAAGACATTTCCAGAAATGTATGTATTAAGGGGTTTTTTTTTTTTTAAGAATGTGTTTATTTTTAGAGAGAGAGGATGTAATCGAGGAGAGGGGCAGAGGGAGAGGAAGAGAGAGAATCTTGACCAGACTCTGCACTGAGTGTGGAGCCCAATTTGGAGCTCGATCCCATGACTCTGGGATCATGACCTGAGCTAAAGGTAGACACTTAACAGACTGAGCCACCCAGGTGCCCAGGAAGGAAGATATTTTTAGCAGAGCAGAAACAGCTGTTAGGAATCATATTTCCATTTGAAGTTATAACTTGCTCCTTCCAACATAAAAATGTTATGAAAAGAGCGTGGCGTTAAAACAATTTATGCCTCAGAAAACCAACCTGTCTTCAAAACAAAAAGAAAACATCTGTAATAGTTGCAACTAAAGATTTTTATGTGTGATTATTAGTTAAGGTTTTGCTATCCTTTTACCTAAAAAGTTCCTTAAAATGTGTATAGAATAGAAGGTATTTACTGTTCAGTAATTCAGTATTTCACTTTATAAAATGAGAGATTACCACAGGGAATAAATACAACTAGAGGGCAGCCCAGCTGGCTCAGCGGTTCAGCGCTGCCTTAAGCCCAGGGTGTGATCCTTGAGACCCGGGATTGAGTCCCATGTCGGGCTCCCTACATGGAGCCTGCTTCTCCCTCTGCCTGTGTCTCTGCCCCTCTCTCTCTCTCTCTCTGTCTTTCATGAATAAATAAAATCTTTAAAAATATATGTTATATATATATATACATATATATATATATGTTAGAAACACCACATCTAAGTGATTTATGGCATTAAAGACACTTAAATTTTTTTAAAATACCCTTTAAATGTGATTTAGCAACTTACATAAAACCTTGCTTAATAATTAAGAGTGGAGTTTTTATGACTTTGTGTGAGAGGCATCTTAATGAGTGAGGAGGGGGATAGATTTTGTGAGGTCCTAAACACAGACTCATGCTTATGATATTGCCCATTCTATTTCTGCATATATCCTGGGGATGCCACCATGGAAATGAACAGAAGTTCTACTAGTCCTAAGGCTGTTTCTTTAAAGGAAAAAAAAATCCTATTTTTTATCCATTTGTAAAAATTTCCACATAATAGGAAAATTTTATTTGACAGGGAATCAATTATCTGGATCACAAGTAACATTGTCTCAAAGGCAGACATCTAGCAACCCAAGACATGTTTAATCAGTCTTTTTGAGTTGGTCCATTAAGCGTTGTTGTTGGTAGGCTTTTGTTTGTTCTTTTGTTTTAACCTTTGGAAGTTTACTTGCTTCTCAGCCTTTTGGCTAAGATCAAGTATAATCTTTGGGGGCTTATAATAAAATGGTTTCTTGCATGTGAACCAGCAACTCCCTTCTGCTAAGCTTAGACTTACTATGCTACCTTAATCTTTTCCTCTCCTGATCCAGGTTTGAAGTCCATTCCTTCAAGCTTCCTACAATATTGCATCTGTTCTCTCATTTCCTAGAAATCTTTCTGTGCTCTTGGACCCTGTTCTGGAAGCTCTACACATAATACCTGATCTTCTCTCTTTAACATACTAATAACACTTTGGAATGATTTAGTAATAGGTTGATTTTTCTCTCTCTACTCTTGTGTCAGCTGGAAGGCGTAGGCTCTCTACCTTATAGGGTACCTGTAATACGTTTCATACCTGTGCGATGTAGCAGTGAGCCCTATGGAAGTGTTTGACTGTGAGTGACAAGAATGTATGGTTATGCAGACACTAGGAAAACTAAACATCATTCTGGAGTGCCTCATGTTATTAGTAGTCTCTCCTAGGTCCTCACGAAAACTAAAGATCTGTTTAAAATTTTTATATAAAGATTCATTTTTAAATATCTGTTGATATTCCATTACAATTTAATTCAAAGAACTGGGGATATTTTGTTAACTTTATTCTATTTAATGTAGTAGTATTCAGTTTCAAAACAAACTTCAATACAGACATGCAGTTATCATTGTTAGATACTTGGAATTAAACTTCTTAAAATGAGGGATGCCTGGGTGGCTCAGCAGTTGAGCATCTGCCTTTGGCCCATGGCGTGATCCTGGGATCAAGTCCCTCATCAGGCTCCTTGCAGGGAGCCTGCTTCTCCCTCTGCCTACATCTCTGCCTCTGTGTGTGTATGTGTGTATGTCTCTCATGAATAAATAAATAAAATCTTAAAAAAAAACTTCCTAAAATATATTTAAAGGTGATCAGACTTCAGGTATAAATACGTTAAGGATATATCACATTAGGGGATCCCTGGGTGGCGCAGCGGTTTAGCGCCTGCCTTTGGCCCAATTTTAAAAGTTCTGTGGATAAAATGCTAACAAACAGCATCACATGCTACAGAGAAATCGTTCATATTTATTTATTTATTTATTTATGATGAGAGAGAGAGAGAGAGAGAGAGAGAGGCAGAGACACAGGCAGAGGGAGAAGCAGGCTCCATGCTGGGAGCCCGACACGGGACTCGATCTCAGGGCTCCAGGATTGCGCCCTGGGCCAAAGGCAGGCGCTAAACCGCTGAACCACCCAGGGATCCCCTGTCCTTTGAAGCTTTGAAGCCAGGCACTGACTTCTCTCTAGCTATGAATGTCCTACATGGCATCATCTTCCGGTAGAAAGCTATTTGATCGACATTGAATATCTGTTGTTCGGTGTAGCCACCTTCATGAATTGGCTTAGCTGGGTCTTCTGGATAACTTGCTGTGGCTTCTCCATCAGCACTTGCTGCTTCATCCTGCACTCTGATGTTACAGAGATGGCTTCTTTCCATAAGCCTCATGAACCAACCTCTGCTAGCTTCCAACTCTTTTTCTGTATCTTCCTCACCTCTGAGCCTTCATAGTGTTGGGGAGAGTTAGGGTCTTGCTCCGGATTAGCTTTGGCTTATAGAGGGCTGCCTTCTTGTGTCCTCATATGGTCTTTTCTATGCATGTTCCTGGTATCCGTGTATCCACATTTCCTTTTCTTAAAAGGACAGCCGGCAAATTGGATCAGGGCCCACCTTAACAAGCTTGTTTTAACTTAATCATCTCTTTGAAGACCTAGTTTCCAGATACAGTCACATTCTGAGGTCCTGGATGCTAGGACTACAATGAATTTGGATATGAAATTTGGTGGGTGGGGGGGATACAGTTCAGCCTTAACACTCCAGAGGAACCTCTTTTAGCCCCTCATTATCACTATCAACACAGTGCTAACATTTGAAGGAATATTCTGAACCAGAAAGCTTCACGCCTTATTTCTCTATATTTATAAAACATATTCGGGGATCCCTGGGTGGCGCAGTGGTTTAGCGCCTGCCTTTGGCCCAGGGCACGGTCCTGGAGACCCGGGATCGAATCCCACGTCGGGCTCCCGGTGCATGGAGCCTGCTTCTCCCTTTGCCTGTGTCTCTGCCTCTCTCTCTCTCTCTCTCTCTCTCTCTGTGCGACTATCATAAATTAAAAAAAAAACATATTCAGTATAAAGGTGATACATACATGAAAGAAAATGTGTGGGTGAAAAAAAGCCCACAAAAACCTGACTCTCATTCCCATTCCCCAAGTGCAGCCCCTGTGAGCATGTTGGTGTTACTCTGCATCCCTCATTGCCTATTCATAGATGCCCTTCCAGCAGATATTTAGATTGCTTTTATTTTTTTTCTTACATTGAAATAAAGATTTAACCATAAATCTTTGTACAAAATTTCTTTTGTTTCCTTGAGATAAATTCCTTTAAGTAGATACAACACTTTCTCAGTGGCAAAATGCATTTTAAATCCCCCCCCCCCCCCAGAGGACATGAAGGATACATCTGTTCCTATCTTAGTCTTAAGATAGGAGAACTACCTTTTATCCTCCTCTCCCCTTCTCCCTCACACTTGCCTGATTATCTGGAAACCATTATTATCTGTGGGGAAGAGAAAAAGGTCTGGAGAGAACGTGCACCCTTTGGGAACAGGAGCGGTTGTAATTCCTGAGGTAAGAGTCCTGGCCTCTGCTGTGGAAATGTGGAGGAAACACTGTTGTTAGCCTTTCCTTGTTTTTGGATTATCCTTTTTGTTTTTTGTTTTATTTTTTAAAGATTTTATTTATTCACTGATGAGAGACAGAGAGACAAAGGCAGAAGCAGGCTCCATGCCGGGAGCCCAACATAGAACTCAATCCCGAGTCTCCAGAATCATGCCCCCGACCGAAGGCAGGCACTTAACCGCTGAGCCACCCAGGGATCCCCATTTTTGGATTCTTCTTAAATTAGTGGGACCTAATTTACTGAATTTTTAGATAATGCGATCTAGTTGCTCAAAATACTGAAGTATTTTCTTTCTTCTAAAACTAATTGCCATTACTTTTGAAAATAAAGCATACTTCTAATTTTGATACCTCTGAAAGTGAGAAGTAACAAAAAAAAGAATATACTTATATCTGAAATGTTTTATGATTGTGTTTTCAATTTTTAAAAATATTTCTCAATTTTCTTTTAGATAATATATTTGCAATAAGATCTTGGGCCAAAAGAAAATTTGGGTTCGAAGAAAATAAAATTGACAAAAATTTTGGAATTCCAGAAGACTTTGACTACATAGACTAAAATGTTCAATGTTGGTAAAGGATCTGTGTACTTGTGAATATGTAATTTTTAAAATCTTATCCAACAAAATGTACTGAATTGCCATTAACCTGTATTTGTGTTTATCATTTTATTAATTTTAAATAAAGTATAAACTGGAGATGGTTTTCACTCTTTTTGATCTATCAAAAGCAGGATTATTCCCAAGTGGTCATCAGAGTAGGATAGTACAAATAAAATCATCCACTTAAGTTAGTTTTACAAATAATTTTTTAGAGAACACAGACATCATGGCAAGACAACATAGTTTAGTTTCATCCAAATATTAAATATTGACAACTAAGAGTACCTTTGAAGGTTCTATTGCAGACATACACCCACACATTGATACTTGGAAATAACCTTTAATACTTTAGTGGTTGCTGTACTATTTTTCATTATTTAGTGGAAAATGTATGTGATTCTCAGTATAACTGCACCATATTTGTGAATTTCCTATAGAAAAAATACAGAATGTTGGTGTACTCAAGTTTAGAGTTAAGTGGTAATTCCTCAGTCATGAAAACGACTTTCTTTTGACTTTTTGATGCCCTTTGACTGTAAAGAACAAGCATGTGGCCCTTTGTCCTGACTTACGCACTTTTGATAAGATATAGTGGCATTGGTGTGGCACATATCATCAACTAGAGTTCAGGGATTTTTTTTTCAACTACCTAAAAAAGAGTAAATTAAAAAATAATTTATGTCCTGTGTATATAATTTTTTTCCAATTCAGCTTGGGTGTTTAGATTACTTGGAGGCACTCCAAAAAAAAGAAGAAAACAAAATGAATGTGTATAATGCCCTTTACACATATGCCTTAATTTTTTCTCATACTAATTTTGATGTTCTTTTAAGTACCTTGAATGAGATACTCCACATGTCTGAAATGACCCAAACAGCATCCAAACCGTTCGTTAGTGAATCTAGTCTTTGTATTGCATGGAGTTGCTCTAGGCCTTAATTACTTCCTGGATGGGGAAGGGAGAGCAGCAAATTGGTCCATCTTTGTTCTTTGTTCTCAAGGCTACTTTATGTTGCCTTAAGGCGACAGCTCTTTTCACAGGAGAAAGTATTTGATGTAAGAGATTACAAAGGACAAAAAATAAAAATAACCCATCATAAGCCTTTCCCCAAAACGTTCCAAAATTTCTCAGACATAATTTGCTATTTATTAGAAAATAAACTTCTTTGTTTAAAGAGAAGGTATGTATATTCCAAAAGGAAGCCATTTCTAATGATCCTTAAAAGATTTTGGACACCTTTATAAAAATTGAAGTATAATTAACATACAACATTATATTAGTTTCAGGTGTACAGTGTAACAATTGGACATTTGTATACATTGCAAAATGATCACCATAGTAAGTCTAATTACCATCTGTTATATAAAGTTATAAAAATTTTTTCTTACCAAAACTTTAAGATTTACTCTTAGCAACTTTCATATTTGCAATACGATATTGTTGACTGCAGTCACCGTGCATATTACATCTCCATGACTTATTTATATAACTGGAAGTTTGTACCTCTCTTGATCTCTGCCCCACATTTTACTCACCCCTGACCCCCTCCCCTCTGGCAACCACCAATGTATTCTTTGTATCTATGAGTTTGGTTTGGTTTTGTTCTGTTTGCTTGTTTTTTATACTCTCTATATAAGGTTACACATATTTGTTTTTCTGTCTGACTTATTTCACTTAGCTTAATACCATTTAGGTTCATCTATATTGTTGCAAATGGCAAGATTTCATTCTTTTTTATGACTGAGTAGAAACCTGTACCACATCTTTCTCCACTCATCCATTAATGGACGCTTAGGTTGTTTCCATATCTTTGTTGTTATAAATAGTGCTGCAATAAGCCTAGGACTGCATATATCTTTTCAAATTAGTGTTTTTCTTTGGATAAATATCGGATTTTTTGGATTTTAGTTCTATTTTTAACTTTTTTATAGAACCTCCATACTGTTTTCTGTGGTGACTGCACAAATTTACATTTCCACTAACAGTAAGTAAGGATTAATTTGTCCACATTCTCACCAACTTTTATTATTTCTTTTTCTTTTGAACAAGCCAATCTGACAGATGTGAGGTAATATCTCATTGTGGTTAGTGATGTTGAATATCTGTTCATGTGTCTGTTGGCCATCTGTATGTCTTCTTGGAAAAATACATATTCAGATCTTCTATTTTCTTTTTTTTTCTTAAGATTTTATTTATTTATTCATGAGAGATAGAGGCAGAGACACAGGCAGAGGGAGAAGCAGGCTCCATGCTGGGGTGGGACTCAATCCTGGGTCTCCAGGATCATGCCCTGAGCCCAGGGCAGGCACTAAACCGCTGAGGCACCCAGGGATCCCATTGGATTATTTTTATGCTGTTATTGACTTATATGAGTTCTTTATATTTTGGTTATTAACCCCTATTAGATATGCGATTCACAAATATCTTCTCTCATTCAATAGATTGCCTTTTAATTTTGTTGACAATTTTTTTTTCTGTATAGAAGCTTTTTAGTTTGATTTAGTTCCATTTGTTTATTTTTGGTTTTGTTGCCATTGCCTTTGGAGTCTGATCTACACAAAATATCCCCAAAAGCAGTGTCATGGAGCTCACTGCCTATATGTTTTTGGTAGGATTTTTATGATTTCTGGTCTTAAATTCGAGGCTTTAGTCCATTTTGAGTTAATTTTTGTGTATTTTGTAAGATAGTGGTCCAGTTTCATTCTCTTGCGTGTGGCTCTCCAGTTTTCCAATCACCATGTATTAATGATACTGCCCTTAAGCCCATTGTATATTTTTGCCTCCTTTGTCATAAACTGATTGACCATATATATATTTGGGTTTATTTCTGGGCTATCTGTTCCATTGATCTATGTTTCTATTTTTATGCCAATACCATGCTATTTTGACTAATATAGTTTGAAGTTAGGAAATGTGATACCTTCAATTTTGTTTTCTCAAGATTGCTTTGCCTATTTGGGATTTTTCTGTTAGTTTGTTAGTTTATAAAGATGTAAAATATTTTTGTATTATTAATTTTGTACCCTCCAAATTTACTGAATTTGTTTAATGGGTTTTTTGGTGGAGTGTTTAGGGCTTTCTGCATATAAAATCATGTTCACAGATAGTGATAGTTTTACTTCTTCCTTTCTAAATTTCGGTGCCTTTTTTTTTTCCTGTTTAATTGGTCTGGTTAGGACTCCAATACTATGTTGAATAAAAGTGGTGAGAGTAGGCATCCTTGTCTTGCTCTTGATCTTAAGGGAGAAGCTTTCAGCTTTTCTGCTGTTGAATGTGGTATTAGCTATGGGCTTGTCATATAATGCCTTTATTATGATACATTATGTTCTATTTGTATCCACTTTGTCAAGAGTTTGAATCATAAATCAGTATTGAATTTTATCAACTGCCTTTTTTTACATCTGTTGAAATATGATTTTTATCCTTCATTTTGTTAATGTGTTATGTCACAGATTGATTTGCAATTTTTTTTTTGATTTGCAAATGTTGAACCATCTTTCCATCCCTGGAATAAATCCCACTTGATCATAGTGTATGATCTTTTTTTTTTTTAAGACTTTATTTATATATTCATGAGAGACACACAGAGAGAGAGAGAGGCAGAGACAGGCAGAGGGAGAAACAGGCCTTGTGGGCAGCCTGATGTGGGACTCAATCTCGGGATTCCTGGATCACGCTCTGGGCTCTGAAGGGAGAGGCTCAACCGCTGAGCCACCTAGGCATCCTGTGTATGATCTTTTTAATGTATTATTGAATTCAGTTTGCTAATATTTTGTTGAGGATTTTTGTATCGAGGTTCATCATGAGTATTGGCTTGTAAATAGTGTGTGTGTGTGTGTGTTTAGATGTCCTTTGGTTTTGTTATCAGGGTAATGCTGGTTTCATAAAATGAATTTAGGAGCATTCCCTTCTCTTCACATTTTTTTTTTGTTGTTGTTTGTTTTCTTTTTTTGGAGAGTTTGAAAAGGGTAAGTATTAAATCTTCTTTGAATGTTTGATAGAATTCACTGGTGAAGATGGCTAGTCCTGGGCTTTTGTCCATTGGGAGTTTTTTTTTTTACTACTGGTCTATTCAGATTTTTTATTTCTTCATGATTCCATCTTCGAAGATTGTGTATTTCTAAGAATTTATCCAAGTTTTCGAAGTTGTCCAGTTTGTTGGTATATAATTATTCATAATTGTCTCTTACTATCCTTTGTATTTCTGTGGCATCAGTAGCAATTTCTCCTTTTTCATTTCTGATTTTATTTGAGCTTTCCCGTTTTTTTTTTTAAAGATTTTATTTCTAAGTAATCTCTGTACTCAACATGGGGCTCAAATTTACAACCCTGAGATCAAGAGTCACATGCTCTATGAACTGACCCAACCAGGTGCCCCAGCCCTCTTATTTCTCAATGAGTTTAGCTAAGGGTTAATCAATTTTACCTTTTCAAAGAACCAGCTGTTAGTTTCACTGATCTTTTCTATTGTCTCTCCTACTCTCTATTTCCTTTATTTTTGCTCTGATATATATGATTTCCTTCTACTAACCTTGGGCTTTATTCTTTTTCTAATTCCTTTAGGTATAAAGTTAGATATTTTATTTGAGATTGTTCTTGTTTCTGGAGGTAGGTAGACCTGTATGGCTTTAAACTTCCCTTTAGAGGGGAGGGGCAAGATGGCGGAAGAGCAGGGTCCCCAGGTCACCTGTCCCCACCAAATTACCTGGATAACCTTCAAACCATCCTGAAAATCTACGAATTCGGCCTGAGATGTAAAGAGAGACCAGCTGGAACGCTACAGTGAGAAGAGTCCGCGCTTCTATCAAGGTAGGAAGACGGGGAAAAAGAAATAAAGAAGCAAAAGGCCTCCGAGGGGGAGGGGCCCCGCGAGGAGCCGGGCTGAGGCCGGGGCGAGTGTCCCCAGGACAGGAGAGCCCCCGTCCCGGAGGAGCAGGAGCTGCACCAACCTTCCCGGGCGGGCGGAAAGGGGCTCGCAGGGAGTTGGAGCAGGACCCAGGAGGGCGGGGATGCCCTCGGGCTCCCGGGACACTAACAGACACCTGCGAGCGCAGGGGAGTGCTCCGAGCTCCCTAAGGGCTGCAGCGCGCACGGC